AACACTTCTAGGGACATATATGCAGATATATTAAACATGGCGGACAGGAATCTCCACAACACCACGCCAAATGTGCTGAATTCATTCCTGTCAGGCAATTTATGTGTTAGGTAAACGTACTTCAGATTAAAGGTTGTCTGAAGTTGTCACCACAAAATGCCAAGTGGAAGTACAGCGGTGAGCATATGCACTTGTAGAAATCAGATCTACAGCGCGAAAGTGTCATTTGCCCATGACTTGAGCACACTATAGTGCAGTGTAGTCACTGGAGGTAAAATCATTGTTACAAAATTAGGAAGTAATGTAACTCAGTCTGTTAAAAGCTATCTGTTGACTTGTTGACTTGGTCAATAAGTATTAAAAGTCTTCGAATATCCATGGACACACTACTTGTAACGCGTTTCCCACGCTGCAAAGGCTCTCCGCAAGTGAAGTGACTTACAACTAACTGTTTGTTAAATGGTGGGAACACTGCAAAACAGACCTGACAAGGCTTCTCTAGAGCTTTGTGAACTGGGAGAAGATTGCCTGGTTCACATCAGGAGCGTACTCGCCGCGATGGGATAAAGATAAGCTTGGAAGGCCAGTTTTAACGATGTTTCTATCTTACGGGCCTTCAGTGTGTGATAATCCATGGCAGCTGACTTTCAGGAAGCCTTTTCATAGTGGAAATTTTCTAGAAAGCAGTGTATCCACACGCAAAGAGACCAAGAATTTTTATGCATGCCAATTTGATCAGCAAGCTTTTACGACATTATTACTTAACGGTCGAAGCACGTAGATATATGGGACAACAAGTACAGCTATACAAACACAAGGGCATCACTCTCCCGAAACACACACTTTCCAAATTCATTAACAGCACTGCTTTCACACCGTGAAGCAGAGTCACCCAATCTACACCGCACTGTCTCCCGAGTCTGCACTTCCACATATCACAAAATTTGCACTACTTTCCTTTAACGCTATGTGGTAAGACTGGAATTCAAGTGGCGGTAATCTCTGATGTTATAGAAATAGTAAAATGCCTTATGTGAAGGCTCACCAACACACACCCAGGGGTTAACACACCTTGCGAAAGCAGTCACCAGAAACAAAAAAACAAAGCATGTACTTGCCTGGGAGACTGCAGACCACCAAGAAAGTTTTGGAAGCAAATTATAGACGTCGATCTCCCAAGACCTGAGAGCTTGTCCGTCGCATCCGCCAGACAAAGGTTGGAAAGCCAGAAAGTAAAAGTCATGTCAGTTAATTGCAGACGAGGTTCAACTGGTTTACAAATACATTAGTTTGTAGATGACTCGGATATCTAGTTAACAAGTATAAAACACCACCACATGACACCCTGACCACAATTATACATGCGGTCGCACATTAAAAGGAAGGTATTTCGCAGTTATCCAGAGCAGAGGGCAGATTTTGAGTAACGGGTGCAATCGTAGAGTTAGTATTACATGCATTACTAATCAAAGCGGCGTTATAAGTAGCGCACGGTGGTACTATAAATTGCTAAAAGTTTTGCCAAGAGGCTGAGGCATTCTGCCAACTTCAATCCCTCCGTCACTCGATTCAAAAGAGAACAGAGTCATAAGTATATGTACTATGTCTTGGCAACTAAAGTCAACTTACTTGGAGTTACTAATGTAATGTCTGAAAAAGAGAACTGTAAAGTTCAGGGCTTGTTTACATTGTTAGATCCAATATTAATTAATAAGAACTAACAGAAGAAGATGCGATGAGAAGTTCAGGATATTTTATTAGGAGTAAGTGTAATGTATATATAAATGTAACGTTTCATGCTATTTATACATTAGCTTTTTTTTTATTTCGACGCAAACTAGCACTTGCTGGATACTTATCTGCTTGAGATAATCGTGTCATGTCACTATTAATCCAGCTACTAAAGGCAGCGTTGACTGACGCAAGTGCTCGAGTTGAAACTACACCTTAATGGCATGAACCGAAGACGGAATTACTCAAGTGTTACTTAGCCGTAAATTGTTGCGTTGTATTCCATGAGCACTTTACTATTGTTACTCAACGCAAATGTGCTTACCCGAGGCATTGCAGATCATCGAGTAAAGGTTTGAGAACGCAATGCGCACTAGTAGGGAGGTGAAACACTGCCCCCTAGAGAACGTGAACGTGAAACACTCCCCCCCGGAAATTTCGACCACCTGCGGTTCTTTAACATGCACACAAATCTGAGCACACGGGCCTACATCATTTTCGATGTCGATAGATCGACGCACAGTGCTCGTGGATTAAAAAAAAAAACGCCGAAGTTTACTGTACATAACAGGTATGCACAACTTCAATATAACTGCATTATATCCTTAAAAATCTATCCATTGCAGGTAATGTAAAGACATGTGCAAGCATGCGCGCACGTCGAAGAGTCGAACACATATTTACGAACACAGAAAAGCAACGTGTAAGCTTCTTAAAGATGGTTTCACTGCAGTAAACAAGTGCGATAACGTGAATACACTTATCCAGGGAAACTCTACACTGCTGCGAAGCGCCAAATTCAAGGTTAAATGGATAGACTACCCTCACACGTATTTATTAATTTGCTTTTACATTTGAGAGCTTGTTACCGGCTCACATGCTTCAAGTATATCAAGTTGTACAATTTTGTGCCATCTACAGGTCATCATTTGCGTTCGACCAAAGTCAAGTCCTGCCACTATTCTAAATGGCTTCCACTTCTCAAACCAAGAATAATATTTGAACATGTCTTGTTTGCACGAAACATGTGCAGGTTAGTTGGCTCAAGACAAATTTGCTAATCTATCTTTATGACATACAATCTATCAAATCTTCGAATCGTCACTTGTTTGGTCGAACAAAAGGCTTTCAATTTTTCGGCGTTACCTCGTGCCATAGAATATTGAAACAATCTTCCAGATAAGATTGTCAGTATTCTTGGCCCAAACTCTAGTGGACCTCGCGGATTCTCGAGCCCCCAACAACGAACGTTAATCAGGTGGACCTCGTCACTCATGTCCGCTGTCTATCCACTGCATGTGAAAATGGGATGGTCCTCCTTGTTTATAGACACCCCCCCCCCCTCCATACAGCATGCGAATATGGCGACATTCAGTTCATTCTACACGTGGGCTTCCGTATCGGTGTGTGTATTCTACAGTAAATGCCACCTGCCACAATAAACGCATTTTCTCTTTTTTCCCTGCGTTTTCGCGTGGCGTTAATGACCCACTGCCTCGCCTACTGCGTGGCATACATGCATTGTATTTTCGGCAGATCAAACCGGTGCACACCGGATTACCCAGTATTATTGGAAAGATTAGTGCACGAGGGCGCCTATATACGTACCGATGCGGTTGGTCGAAGATGCCAACAGAGGAGTCTGCGTCGAGATATCTTTACAAGCAGTTACGACGTGCCCATCTGATAATGCGTGCCATAACACTACTAGAAATGAGACTCAAGCGTCGACTCTCTTTAGTTGGACCACAGCGCAAGCAATGACGTAAGATACTCACGTGGTTTAATGAGCGGCGCCTGAGTCATGAAGCGTCGGATCTTCTCATTACAATCGTTTTTGCGATCATTCCACATACGAGAAGATTAACATATTTTAATTCCGTGCTGTCATTGCTCTGCGACCATTGTTCTGGGCCTCGAGTGGTGTACACGAGAATAGCAAGCGATGGAGTTTGTGATGATGAAGAACAACTAGTTGAAGAGCCGAGGCAGGATAAGTGGAGGCACGAAATGAACAAGAAGGAGAGATGATGAAAGAGAGAGAGAGCACCGAAGAACCATTAGTCACAGCGTTTTCATTATTGCCGACGACGGTGTGTGGCAACCGCGAAATGGCAGCTGCGCACGCTATACAGAGAAGAGCATGGTAGTGCGGCCTGCTCTTCCACCTGCGTTGCGCGGGCAGTTGCACATTATGAAAGCTCGTCGTATTGTCATCCGTCTTTCGCTGTCGTCCGAACCGATGGTGCGCACGGAGGAGAATGGCGAGAATGTACCCAGTTTGGGCTGCTACTGCTAACGCAGTTCCTGGAGCAAAAGAAATAATGTGCATTAAGAACAACCCTACCCTCGGCAGGCGCTGACAGCGATTTGGAGGACGCATGACAGCAAACTGAATTCGCAGACGTGATTGATTGATCAATCCGCTGGTTCTGGACGTTTGCGGAAAGATTGACGGAAAGATAAAAGCCTCAACCAGGCTTTCGTTGAATTTCGTAGCTGTGCAGGGCACACCCAGATGTGGGGTGTTATAGAAGCTTATATTGTTATTTATCTTGCATGACTCAGCCACTAGCATCAATTAATTTTATTAGCCTCTATTTTCAAACACACGTCTTGTTCTCCCATATTGAGTTATTCTGAGTCTTTCCACGCTTGTCTTGTCGCTTGGAGTAATTCACTGTGTGAGCTGCAGTCGCTTTAGTAACAGCCTGAACAAGCTTGGCAACATAAAAAGACCCTGATAACCCGAACTCTTCGAGGCCTGCTTTGACAAGAATGGTATCCGAGAGGTTTCGCGGAGAGGTGTTGTCGGTGGAAGTCTTCACTTGCTTCAGCACTTGTATGTTCGCCAAGTTCCTCTGCGTTTCGATCTCTTTACCGAAGCGATTTTTCAAGAAGAGTAACGAAGTTCACATTTGAACCCCTCGCAGCTTGAGTTCCTACTGAAGGGATAGTGTAAAAGACTTGCTCGGCTTCCAAGATATATATTTTTTGTTCGTAAAACGCAAACAGCAGCTTTGTGGTAGAAGTGGGAATGGGCATCTGGAACGAGAACTACACATTTGGTGCAGGGCAATTCAACAAGGCGTGGTGTCTCACTCGCTGGTATGACCTTTTGGAAATGAAGAACGTTACACAAAGTTTATACGTTGTTTAGAGCATACCTAAAGCAAGCGCAACGCTCGTCGGTATAAGGAAGCAAGCAAAAGCTTGTTACCACCATCTGTTCTGGAAAGAGTTGATGCCGTCAATGAGGAAATCGAATGTAGGCTGTTGTTTTATTTAACAAAGTTGTTACCTTTATTACGAAGACAACACCGTAGGGCGAGCACAACGGACAAGAAAACGCGTCGCTTATGTCCCTAATTAGCAGTGATTACCATCTCATCGATTTTAACTGAAGTCGCAGAGCATTGCGGGGCCAGGCTCGTTTCATTCCTCTATGGCTCTGCGACTCCGCATCAACAGGCGATGACACATTGTTGTACCGCACGCTTTCAAGGGTCCGAACAACCTGTCATCGCGCAGCGGAAAGCATAACAGTCCGAATAAACAACACAGATACGGTAACGAACAGCTCATTGCTAACAATTAATAATGCGTTAAAGAAACTCATAATCATCGAGACTTCATGGGTGAATTGCTAAAACACTAGATGCATGCACCTAACTGGTGATCCGGCCTATGCACAAGACCTTGATTTCTTTCTTTTCTTCACGGAAACATATACTTGCTGGAAACCACTTGTAATGTGGCTAACATGATTTTTCGAACTGCAACACTGAGCATCCCTGACGTGGCTCAGTGGCATCAAATTTCCCCTTTATACGTAGCTTATCCCAGGCGTCCTCGTGCGTGGTACAGGCATATTATGACAATCTGGTAGCGCTAACATACCCGCCTAGCCCGCCTCAAACTCTTCTGTGGTGCAGGCACACTGGACCGTGTATAATGCTCGCACGTACAATCTATTAAGCCAATCCTGCTTTGAGCCTCAAAATGTCCGCACAAGACGCTCGCCTGGGCTTTGAAAAAAAAAAACAACAGCCGCTGAAGTTCAATACTTGTCCTCAGTGACAGCAATTGAACATAGCGTGCTCAGGACGAAAGTTCGGCGCTGTCATCCACGTGCTTGGAGAGGGGCCTCATCTCCGAATCATCCGCACTGTTCCTGTATCGTCGCCGACATCGGTACACCGCCGTCCCTATGGCCAAGGCTGTGACTAAGATGCCAGCGGCAATGAGAAGGGCAGGAACGCTCCAGGCTGACGTGGAAGCGGGCGCAGCAGCCGAGTGCTTCTCCTGTAGCACCGGCATTCCGGAGATGTCATTCAGCATTACACCATTTCCTTCGTCGTTCTTCGACCGGGGACTGGACGTGGTTGGGACCGCAGACTGGCTTCGTGACGACTTTCACGAGGTTGCTGTCGTCTGCGGGCTTGAATTTGGGAGCCTCGGAAGACAACTGTCGCGTCGAATGAGGAAGGCTGAAAGTCTGTCGGCTTGAACTCGATGCGCTCGAGTGCAAGGGCGTCGAAGAACGGACGTCGGGAGGCGAAGTTGTGGAATCTCCCGGCTTCTTGACTGGCTTCCGCGTTGTCCACTTGGCCGGCTTCGTATAAAATTCTGTGGCTTTCTTCCTTGGCTTGGTCGGCTTTGTAAGAGGGGTTATGGTTGTCGCTTCGGTGACCGAGACCGCTCCTGATGCAGGGCCTTTAGTAGGTGAAACGCTTGATGGTAGTCTTGCGGACACAGTGCTAGATGCCGTCCTCAGGTTCGCTGTAGTACAAGAAGCGATGTGAGCACGAGTGGCTTTAGTGCTTTGCGGCAGCAGATGCGTTGTACGTCTGGATGCATCTGTGCTATTCAACGTGACCGCAGCCGGACCAGTAGAGCGGCTTTTCGCGGCCGGTCCCCCAGAAGTAATGCGGCTTCTCGTATAAGTCGCCGAAGTGGTCGCCTTGCTTCCTGGGGACTTTACAGGCGTAACGTCCGGTCCCACCGTATTGCCTTCTACGTTGGGTTGCACGTTATGCCAACTTGTAGGATGAAGCCAAGCGACCGTCGTCCCTGGTCGCCTCCCCGGTGTTGGCGCTGCCGTTGTCAAGACTGCGCCGGAAGTAGTTCTTGACGTACTTGCCACGAACGCACGACTTGCGGCGGCCGTACGAGTCTGCGAAGTTACGTTTACCGTTGACGGCTTTGGCGAACTGCTGGTGATGAGACGCGCCGTCGTAGGAATCGCTGCGGTGGTCACTTCTGTTTTTCGCGAAAAGCTTGAGCTCGTACTGTTCCTGGTCGGCGAAGAAGGTGTGTACGTGGTGAGTGATGACTCTCTAGCCTCAGCGCCCGCGCGCGTTGGAAGCGATGTCACTTGGCTTGTCGTGAGGGCCGCTGTCGCTGAGGGGCTTTCTGTTCTAGCCAGGCTAGTCGTGAGAATGTCAGATGGAAACGTCGTAGTATGTGTTGTGGACGACGATGAGGACGACGAATGAACGGGAGCTGTAGTCTGTAAATACCTAGGCTGCACGTCCGACTCGTTTTTTGTAGTCACAGGTTTTAGATTCTCGGAAGACCGCTGTTCTGGACCGTGTGTGACAGCAACATTATCGATGCTTGTTGAAAGGGAGCGGGCGTTGTCCGAGCTGCCCTCTGTCCCGCCTTCCTTGTCCACCGCAGGGAGGCTCGAGTACGGTGTCGTATCCCAAGTGTCTCCCGAATCTGGAAAACACAAGAAATGATGCGGTATTTTCAACAGACCTTATTCAGCTATCGTCCACCTAGAACTAAGATAAAAACCACAGGTTTTATTCATTGCTACAACTCAAAGCTCACTCACTGCCAGGGTTTCGCTTGCGTGCTTTTAGCTATGGGATACCACTAGAGCAACTGGTGACTGGGAACTAATTAGGGCATCTCGCATCGTGCGCACGAACTAGGGAAGCAGTAATTGATTGATATGTGGGGTTTAACGTCCCAAAACCACCATTTGATTATGAGAGACGCCGTAGTGGAGGGCTCCGGAAATTTTGACCACCTGGGGTTCTTTAACGTGCACCCAAATCTGAGTACACGGGCCTACAACATTTCCGCCTCCATCGGAAATGCAGCCGCCGAAGCCGGGATTCGAACCCGCGCCCTGCGGGTCAGCAGCCGACAGGGAAGCAGTAATCACCTGTCTCTACTACTTTCAATGAGTAATGAGGAATGGAATCAATGCTTACTTTACAGTTCATCTATGCACCGAAAGTTTATATCTAGGTGATATACCTAAAATAATTGCTTCCTGCTATCTCGTTTCAGTTATGTACCAGCTAGAGCACACACCTAATACGAATTATTTTAAAGGGGCCCTGCAACATTTCTTTTTCAGATTGCCATGAAATGGATTGACTAAAGAAGCTTATTGCGTTCTGAATTCATCTCCGCTAATACTTTTTTAATTCGTTCAGTACGAGTGGAGGTAAAAAGATTTGTCACCCGCTGCCATTGTATTCTCTCTTCTCTCGTACCGACGGAATCGCTGGAAGATAAGCAAAGAGAGATTGTAGGAGGAAAACGAATACGTCACGTGCACCACGTGACCACGGGATTTCTTTTTTTCCCTCTGCGAATACGCGGATTATCGATGCGAACGCATGGAAAAGTCACGGCGTTCCACAGCAATTCTTGTGACAATCGAGCGCGCCATGCTAAAATCAGCCAATGCCTGATACAACGGCTGTGACGAGCAATTTTCTTGCTTCTACCGCCCTTCGCCAAAAGAAAAGAAAGCGATTTTAGCGGACTGAAAATTTATTGTGAACTCCAGGCCGAATGTTCTGCTATAATATATGGTTCTCGGGTTCTCGGAAGCCTATAAGCTATTGGGATCGGTCACGTTTTCCCACCACGCATGCTCAAAAAGTGTTGCAGGACCTCTTTAAAAAACGCTGATATGCATGAAAAAGGTCTAGTAGCGCAATTTCTGGTATAAGAATCAAAAGAGAAGTAGAAAAGCTAGGCAAACAAGGTTGACAAATTAAACAACGAAATTGCCCTGTATTGAATAAACTAGCAGGCTCAGGTGCCGTACTCTGTAGCGTAGTATTGCTAGTGCAGTTCTGAGTTCACTTCAGAACATAACGCAGAATATCTAATGAATTAACAAGAGCCTCCTGGTTGTGGAAATGCAATAAGTATGATGATTACTCATGGAGCAGTACACGACGACACGCAGAGAAGGAACGAAAGGGACACCGCTCCTGTTGTGCCCGTCGTCGTGCGCTGCTTCATAAGTAATTATGAACTATTACCAACTCTTCCAGCTTTCGACATTACTGAGCGATGTGTATGATCCATCTGACGAGAGCTGGATGATGATTTCTCACACTCAAGCTCAGCCTGGTCTTGCTACAGGCATGGCACGACATACTGGAACAGTTTTAGAAGCGGTCATGGCTAATAAGGCACTACGTAAATTAACCCAAAAAGCAATGATTTGGTTATACACAAGTGTACGGTATTAAAATAAACGATTCCTTATGCTCGAACCTAAGACATGTCCAAGACGAAAGCCATCTTGCTTTTTTTTTTCTTGGTCACTCTAGTGTGCCTACCAGCACCTCCCGACAATTTTCTGCGATTTTTCGGGGAATCTTGAACCCCTTCTGTCCTTAGCTACGCGCATGGATGACTGTTTTATATCTGCATGTTGCGACGTATTGATTCAATGAGGATCAGGAATCATTTTTGAACGAATAACAGCGAAAGAGTAGCTACTATTTTCATTATGAAAGGTTAATTATGTCACATAAACAAAGCACGATTAACGTACGTGTCCCGTAGAAGTGCTTAGCTTTAAGGCGCTGTGAGTGGAGACGTTATGTATTTATAGGTGCCGAAAAACTGGAGGCAAGATGACTATATATACGATCGACTGAACACTACAGGTTTCGGAGTACTGCAAATTAGAATAACTGCAAATGATAAAGTTCATTTACAAAGAATGGTCATGAAGGAGAAATTATAGGTATTTGAATATTACACTTACACACGTGCTTTCAAAGGCATGTATTGACTGATCGGAAGCTGAAATAGCTGTGACGAATATAGCTGAATATAAACGAAGCGCGAGATGAATACACGAATGCGCAATACTTTATATGAAGTCTCTGCAAGTGCAGCTGCCCGAATTTAGAAAACTGAGACTCGGAAGTATTGAGTTGGCGACTGTTGTCGGGCACTACACTGCCATTTCTTCATGCTGATGAAGCGCGACACTTATTATATGTGACGTTTGGGCTAGAAGAAGGTAACGCCTGAATTTCAATAGAACAAATGTCTGCTTAAGCAGCGTCTCTCTTCACCTGCGATGGCACAGAAAGAAAACGCAAGTTCGAGAATTTTCGATGTTTTAGAACTGCTACAGTGTCTTGCGAGTTGCTTCGACTTTATATAGGCAATATGCATGGAGACTAGCGTAATGGCAAGGAAACAATCGATATCATCGTTAGGAGGATCCGGATTTACCCAAACGTGTCCACAGGTTCCACGAATGATGGCATGGGGCAGCAGGAAACGAGGTCTTCTTCCAGCATCGTTTCCCCGTCCGCCCAAGAAAACGAGCTTTTTTCTTCCATAAGCACGGGGTGTACGTTTTCCGCTGCCAAGGCGTTATGCGCATAAGCGGCCACAAGTGGCTTCATCGCGCCCATCTCGTCGTCCGGCGCTAACATAACCGCCGTGCCGGAGGTCATACACAACCGGTGTCCCATAGCCGCGCGTGCTCATAAAGTCGCATTCATATATATCAGAGCCGCGTTGACTCGGAGATGAGACCATTTCCGCCAGCCCAGACGGTGAAGTCAGCACAGACGGTTGTCGTTAGCGCTAGTTACGAGGCTGACCGCCCACCATCTGGCTAAGCAGGACGTGCGAGACGAGCGAGATCGAAGAGACCAGTAGAAGATTTAGTGCTCTTCTCATTGACTGCAATGCTGAGTGCTTCTGCGTTGATGATTGGGCTGGTTGACATCGTGTTTCGGGTAGGAGGCATTCCGCGCGTGGTAAGTGCGATGACTTATAGTGATACTGTTTGATGCATTGCTGCAATGTCGTGCTTCAGTAGCAGCTTCTAGAAAATGATTGTCATGAAGAGGTATGATGAAGTCAAACTAAATAAACATAAAAATAGCTCAAGAAATAAACACCAGCTAACATGAACCCAGATCTTGACATAAACATTAGGCTCTAAGGTTTTACGTGCCAAAACTTTGATGAAGTTATGAAGCACGCCAAAGTCGGAAGACTCCGAGATATCTGTGATTCTTTAATGTGCCTCTAAATACACAAAGAATATATACATTTCACCTCCGTCTAAACGAGAAGAATCTCTGCTTCACCTGCGTTTATTGGTTATACGGAAGGTTAGCTGCCTCACGTCTGCTTTACGGCCACAAAAATTGCTTGAGCTTGGCTAACTCTGACAACCAATCACTGTTTACATCAATGAACGGAATATAGTGCCTGAAATCGGATGACTATAACCCTTCAGCTTGCCGACAACCGCAAAAAGCTTTACAGCAAAAATATGTTGCAGAGAGCTCGGTTCACATTAGCAACTTGACCGTGGCGCTGCTATTCTATACCGGCACACTACCTACGCGTATGAGTGACCCACACGTGTGTGCATGCACCTTTAGATATGTGCAACGCATTTCCCTGCAAAGGGCGTTGAAGCCTGAGTTCACTCATCAGGCGCTGCGCCATGCTCCCCACCGGGCTGCAGAAATTAGAAGCCTTCTATACGTCTTCTGACTACTACCACCACCACCACTCATCATTATAGAGCCACATGCAGCATTCAGTCACTCACATCTTATGAGCAGCATACAGTACTGCACATATGCATTGGCAGTACCACAGAGTTTCCAAAATTAACTAGAGGGCACTCTGGCGCTGCGATCGTTCAGCGACCATGGGAATGATGGGTAGTACACACATTTGCCTAGTCTTCGTACTTGTGGGCGGCGAATCGTACTTGCGGCTTTGTTTATACTGGTTACGGTTTTGTTTTGAAAGAAAGAACAAACCCTTTTGAACTTTACTTGATTCGAAATACTAAGCTTAAAAGAATAAGGTTGTGAAGCGCAAACGGTGAACATTTGCTAATTTATGTTTTCGTGAACAAACAGCTCCAAGCCACACGAACACACACGGAGCCAGAAGCAGGCCAGGAGTACGAAAATTAGACAAATGTGTGTACTACCCATCATTCTCATGCTCGCTGAAGCGCCGTGTGTTGCAACTTCCATAGACACTAGCGCCAGAGTTCCCTCTCAGTAAGTATTGTAGGAAACTCTATGGGCAGTACAGCCTGACAGCGCAAGTCAACTGGGAGAGCCCATCAGCAGTTGCCTAAAATCTCATGATGTGCATACTCCCTAAACCACCACGAGAATGTGCCTTGGAACGGGACATGACAAGGGCGATGGCGTGTTTGCACCTCGCGTTACAGTGTATAAGCTAACCAAATATAACTCTACCTGACTGACTGCTCAGCAAAGTCTGCATCACCTTGACAGCGCGAGGAATCACGAGAAAATGCAGGGAGCGTCATCTCAGCAACACGGAGTGATCGTATCAGTGCTGTCTGCTGCGCTTCCAAAGTTATCGCTAACATTGAGATAGATATCGGCAGCACGCTATATATAGAGAGAAGAAGAATGTAGGAAAGGTAG